TTTTTTAGTAGTAATAGTAATTATTAAACTAAAATTATAGTTCTCAACTTCTTTTTATGTATTGCAATTTTCCCTATTTAATTATTTTCCCTCATTTGTCTAAATACACAGAATATTTTGTAGCAGTTATAATTGAATAATGCTGAACATTTTTTAAAAAAATAATAATTATAACATAAATGTCAAAAATAGTATAATATTTTTATTAAATTATGACAGAATTACTAATTTAGCTAATAAGTTATTTTTATAATTTATTAAAGCAAAATTTTTAAATATTTTTATTATTGATTACACTGCCCAATTAATATCAGTCGAATCTCAAAAATACAGAAAGAAAAAGCACTACAAATAGTGAAAAATGTAGAAATGTAATAAAAACATGTTTATAATACTGCAGGTTTCACTGCAGATTTTTACTATTTATGAAAAAAAATTCAGCTTTTAAACAGGTATAATCTAAAAATAATTAAATTAAAAATGATTCTTTCTAGGCAAATAAGAATTAAAATACACCATTTAAAATGTTAATTTCTTTAATTTTGCTTTACATACAACAGTTGAACTTCAAAAATTATAAATAGTTCAGTACTGTCTTTGTAATATAATATTAGTCTATATTATTCAATTACAGTAGAGACACAATTAATCGACTATCGCTATCCCGAATGTCTGAATTTCCCTGTTTTTGGATCGGCCCAAAAGTACCTATGTTATATCAAACCCAAATTACAAGAAAAAGTTAAACACATTTTAAAATAAGAAAAAAAGAAGCAAAGATCTCTTAAATTAAAAAAAAAAGTTGAAAAATAACATTAAAAAAGATAAAAACATTTGCAAGTTTAGACAAGAAAAACAAGTTTAAAAAAATACAACATTCACATGTTTATTTTTTGATAATTAATGTTCCCAAATTAACTAATTTAAAACAAAACCAAGGATTAAAAATCTCAATAAATCACTTATTTATACAAGGGTAAACAGTAAAAAAGAAACTTATTAATCTAAATAAAAACACTTGAAAATTATCGAACGGAAACTATATTTAAAAAGGCAGTAACGTAAATATCAAAACCTGGAGCAAGACAGGATATTATAAGATCAACGAAATTGAAAAAATAAACTTAATATTAAAATTTATTTTTTTAAAATAAAAAAACATTTATTGAGTACAAAATTTACCGTAAGGAAAAAAAAACTATTAGATGCAGTGGAATCAGAAAGACAGAATCAAAATTATAAAAAGAAAGCTGCTATCTGCTTCATAAAATAATCGCTGTTTTTATTAACAAATAATTTTATGTTTAAATTAATAAACAATCCTCTCCTTTTATTTTTTTTAGAAACGAAAGTTTCAAGTTCCGTAACTCAGACATTCATTGATATGCGTGTGCAATGCATATGCATTTTACCCCACCCCCTCGTAAATAATGAAAGAGAAAACGAAAACAGAGTGCCACTCCTTTAAGTTTATTGATATTAGCAGCTTATCTGAAAAACAATTCTTTAGGGGATTCATGAGAAAATAGAATAAGCGTCTCTTCTTTGTTTCTAATGAGGTATGGGGAAGAAATCCCTTTTGTATAGTTCCTCACTCGTATCTTGCCCAAAACCATGACCTATAAAAATATTGGACCTGCGCGCTCATAACACTAATGATTGAAAATTTAGTGACATAAAAACGGGAATTTTAACGTGAGGTTGCATTTTTTATTTCTCTAAAGATTTATTTAGATTATTAAAAATTTAAATAAGAACATTTTTTAAAAGTAGTATGCATCGCTCTTTTTCAATTATAAGTGCTGGGAATTGTAACATTTTTCTTCAATAAAAACGAAACAAAAGTAAAAATTTACTTAAAAAAAGTTAATATTTAAAAACTAAAGATAAAATGTTTACTTACCATTTATGGAATTCATAAGTTGACTTATTATATCTTTATCCACGGCAATGGTTGAATTGCTTCTAGATGATGTGACTTCTTTTTGCTGTGTTGCAAGATTGATTTCTTCCCTTTTTTCACTTTCAACACCAGCCGAATTAATTACGGATATTTCATTGCTCGTACAAGCTTCCGACAATGCAGAGTCATTCACATGTGCTTTTTTTGTAGAAATATCTCCGCTTTCATTGTTCAATTTTCTTTTGTTTGACAATTGAATAAGAGTAAATACATTTTTTTCGCTAACCGAATTGTATTTTACAGTTTTCCCACGGTGTTGTCTCTGGAAATGAATTTTTAAATTTTTCAAAATAATATGCGCGTCGCATTCAAAGCAAGCAATTCTATCACGCTCACGTGCAGACATTTTACTGAAGATTGTAGTAGCTGGTGTTAACAAGTTGTGTGTGATACATTGAGCAGATGACCAGTTAGGACATTCCCATATAACAAGGGCCAATGGGAAAGTGTCATATCCTTATCTATTCATCACTAGAGGGGAAAGTGGGGGGGAATTGAGCTTTTAAGCCTTCAAGGTCATTATGGTCTACAGAAGAATGTATGAGATAGGGGATAGTTCTGCAAGACTACGGGAGGGGGGGCAGGTGGGCGGGGGAGGGATAGTTATCAAGATAGAAATTGTTCTGCAGGACTTCGTTTGTTCTGCGACGTACGTCGCAGTTTTAGGCACTTTCTGCTTCTGGGGAGAGGAGTGCTCTATCCTCTGAGCCACAACAGCTCAAGTGTGGTAGTTTGGCAAGAGACAGCTAGCTCAGGTTTTGTCGAGTCACCTACCCTGGCCACCGAAAGATAATGCCCAGAAAAACTTGGCAAGGTGAGTGGTCATTGTTGGATAGGGTGTATGATTGTGGACAGACTTATGTTCCGCTTAATTAAATTCCAAGATTTTATGAAATATGCAATTGACCCAAAATTTCAACCTCTCACTTGATCAAACTATTAGGACCACATTTTTCAGATTACGCAGATTCCTTATTTTGAGATTCATTAATCCCAAATTTGTCGAAAAAAAGGTATGTTCATTCAGAGAAAAGTATATTTTTGTGTAAATTAATATATCATAGTTAGTTTCATAAACCATTAAAATTGCATTTTCGAACATGAAAATCTGATCACTAGATAAAAAGTTATTATAATGTACGATTTTCAACTTTATGCACTTCAATAATTAATCCCAC